GAGAAAGGAAGGAAAGAAGAAAAAGGGAAGCAATCGAGGCGGCCATGAGAGGGAAGAAGAAGAAGAAAGAAAAAGAGAGGGAAAAGAAAGAAGAAAGGAGGAAGAGAAGAAATGGAAGAAAACGAAAGAAAAGAAAGAAGAGAAATAGGGACGAACCAGTGGTGGTTCGTCCATAGCAGATTGAGGAAAGAAGAAAAAAAAAGAAAGAAAGAAGGAAGAGAAAACGGGAAAGAGATGAAGAGAGAGGAAAAATAAAAATTGGGTTTTGATCTAAAACTTTTGAAAATATGGTTTGGGTTATGTTCTTGGGCCTTTTTTTTTAAGGATATGTGGGTTGGGTTTAACCCAACCCACATGTGGTCGAGATTGGACAGTCCGACCAGCCCGAAATGTTGGGGTAGGCGGGACGAGTCCGCCTAAACCCTAAAAAAAAAAAAGAGTAAATTTTTTTTATGGATATTGTTATTTCATATTAAAGTTAGCTATTGAATTGTTTTTTTATTATCTTAATTAATGTAATTTTTAATCTGGAGATTATTTTATGCATGTTTGTTAATTTATGTTAATTTAGAATTTAATATTTTAATCATCTCGTAAATAGGTTCGTTAATGTGATTTTAAATTTTAATTTATTTTATGGATGCTCGTTATTAATTCAAATTTTCGTATTTGATTTCTTTTATTTAATTCATGTAGCTTTAATTTATTTTATTTAGTAATTAGGCTCGATAAGTAATAAGTAGAAGATTGTCAAATCTCCTAAGTTTTTAGGGATTGATGATAATCTTTCATAAATAAATAAAAATAAATAAATAAATAAATAAAATAAAATAAACAAAGAAAGAAAAATAACAAAAAAAAAATCACAAAACTTTTCAATAAAGTCTCCTATCCGATAGGGATCGTTGTTAGCCAATTTTTTTTCTAATAAACAAGTGTTCTCTCGGCACACCGGTTGTGTCGAGACTCAAAAAAATGGATCCGATGTTTGAACCGACGTGTCTCCCGACGAAGGGGTCCGACGATCGTTTCAATACGATGCCACGCTAAAATATAAAAACTTAATTTGACTTGGAAAATTGGAGTCTTAAAAATTGAAAAATAATTTGGCAAAAATAAAATACTTTAAGAGATAATTTAGGACTAAGCTAGATGTGATAACTTTCTTAAGAAAGGGCACTTTTGGGTGATTAATTATCTTCCTATAAGCGTAACCGACTCCTTACCATAGAATCTCCGAACCGAGTGTCAATTTTAGGTTCCTAGTTCCTTCGATACTAGGTGGCGACTCCAAACTCGTAAATAGTTTTGTAAATAAAATAAAAATCGAAACGAGTAATATATGAGATTTATTATTTTTGGGAGTCCCGTCCGACATCGGGTAGCGACAAGAATCATTATAAAATCCTTTCTATAAAAATTAACCGATGAATAAAAATCTTGTTTTTAAATGCTCGAATTACAAGTCGAGATAAAAGTTTGTTTTTTAAGGTATTTCATATCAAATTCTCTTTTTAGATAACTTATAACATTTGGAATCTCTTCGGGAGTTCCAATAATATTTAAATCATCAACATATATAGCACCTATCATAAACCCCTTTGCGAATTTGTTTAAAAAAATATATGAATAAATATGGTTATTTTTATAGCCTTTTTTCAATAAATATTTATTGAAATAATTATATCACATGCACATAAGTTAGTAATAAAGAGTAGATATTGAAAAATAAAAAAAATAAATATAAAAAATATAGCATAAATTAAATTTCTAAAAACTAAAATAATAAAACTAATATTAAAATAATTATGATAGAGATCTCTATAATTTAACTCGAATTCATTTCTCGATAATATTTATTACATGCTTCGGACATCTTAAGTCCTTCTAGGACTTTCACGTAGATATCATTTCAAATGAACAAATAAACTATAATCACATTTATTAAATGCATGTATATGAATTTTTTATATATATATTTTGTCAAGCTAACGAGATAATAAAATATAATTACATTCATTATAGGAGAATATGTCTCCTAGATGTATATTAAAAGTCATGCTTTGTATCTTACAATCTCATCTTTCTTATTTTATTTTTGCATAAATACATATTTATATCCCACTAACTTAACATTTTCAAGTGTTTTAACTATGAGTTAAAAAAAACTACTCATTTGTAAGAGAACATAATTCTATCTAGATTGTTCTTTTCATTTTAGCCAATCGTCTTTATATCGATATTCTTTAATAAATTTAAGAAGATCGAATTTAGGGATTAGGGCTTTTGATTATAGAGAAGATTACAAAAGGGGAGACGGCGAGAGAGAGCGATAGCTTTTATTGTGTTGGGGGGGGATTTTTATTTTTTATTTTCCTTAAGCGTGTTGTTTTCGTTCTTGTGTTGGAGAGGGCAAAGGAAGCTAGTTTGCCTTAACGTCACAATGTTGCAAAACATTTTCTTTCTATGTGGCTCGCACTTAACTCTTTTTTTCTTAAGTGGTCCCACTTTTATCACTCACTAGGCAAGCGAAATTTCACCGACACCTCTCTCTCTCTCTCTCTCTCTCTCTCTCTCTCTCTCTCTCTCTCTCTCTCTCTCTCTCATTTAACAATTGAGTAATGGTAAAGATAATTGGATCAATTTTTACTATTTTTATTATTATTAAATGATGTAGCAGCTTATAATTAGGTTTTTACAATATTAATTATTTTATTAATTTATTGTGTGTGCTAGCTACCGTTTGAGTAAAATATAAAAAAATAATTTTAATTTGATAACTCATACTATACTATGGATCTACTAAAATATATTACATCAAAAAAATTTTTAATTTTGCAATCAAATTTTTATATTTAATTTTTTATATATTTTTCATAAATTTTATGCTTAAAAAAACTTGATTTGCTCTTTTTTATGCATTGATTCTTAAATAAAAACTTCTAATAATCTAAATAAAAAATTTAATCTAAAATTTTAAAAAATATCTTAATATTTTTTTATATAATATTATATAAAAAATAAAGCAAAAATTAATGTAAAACATTGCATACAAATTAACAAATAATTTCTTATTTAATGTTGATGATAAGATTTTTTTGAAAGTATGTGCATTTGATTCATATATGTTTATTTACAAAATAGCCAATAATATTAATATAAAAAATTGTATTTGAATCATTAGATATTTTTTAAAATATTATTTTAATTATTTTATTTGAAAAAATAATTTTATAATATTAAAACATAATAATAGTAACAAATGGTTCGTGTTATTTATGTAGATGTATAGTTAATATATATATATATAATGTTATAGGGATTTTGATAATTCATTTCTAGGATTTAATTTTGCCCTTTAGGAATTGCAAATAACACTATTGAAATTTCTTTAAGAGAATTTCTCTTGAAGTTGTAAAATTTTATGAAAATAAGAGTTTTGAGAGAAGGAGGATTGCAAAAGCAAGAATTAATTATTTTATGATCGTAGGTGAAGAGAGTGTGATTAATTAATTTTGGATTTATGTTTTCTCTTCATTAAATTAAATTCATAATTAATTATTTCAAATAGAATATAATTGTTAGATTAAGACTCGTTAAAAAGCAATAGTTAATCATTGAATCAAATTAGTTTTACAACAATCATTCCCTTCGAAGCTTCCAATTTGAGTTCTTTATAAGAGGTCTATTTATAAAGTCTCTTCTTTTCTTTCCTTTCCAACGTGAGATAAACATTTCAATTGAAAACACTCTCTTCACCACACTTTAACTTATTATCTATCTAGGTCATGTTTTTCCAACAATATCAACCATGTCAATCATTAAGTTCTCATTGGATTAATTCTTCATATGTATTCATTGAAGTATTTATTTTGAACATCGACAATCATCAAATAATCTATCTATAATTTTTGCCCAAAGATGTGATATAACTTCATTAATGCGAATAGAATGATACATAAAACTACAAAAACCCTAATAAAAAACATTCCTTTTCGTTTTTTACAAGAGTAAATTATAAATTAGTCTCTCTAGTTTCAAGAAATAAATTAATTAGTCCCTTTCGTTTTAAAAATTATTATTTAGTCTTTTAATCGGTTTTGACCGTGCTTAATTTAATATTATTTTTATTCTATTGAATCTCTTATTTTCTCATAAATTTTTCTATATTTTTTCATTTTTTTCCTTTATCTATTTCTAAAAAAATCAAAATAAATTAAAAAGAAGAAAAAGGGACTAAATTACAAGTAGGTTTCAAAATATGAGACCTAAATTATGAGATTTTAAAATAAAATGGACTAATTAATTCGTTTCTCAAAATAAAAAGGACTAATTTATAATTTTCTCTTTTTTACAATACATCTAAAGAAATCTCATTGTATTTATGTCGATGTCAAAAAACTTAGAAGATCTTCGGAAGTTGGCACGAAATCATTAACAACACTTGAACAGCTGAACCCCAAGCTAAATAAAGTTTCTCTTTATCATCCACACCAAGAGGCTTTGAACTTTGAACCTGCTGCGAACAACTGAAAATAGAGGATTGGCTAAAATTGAGTTAGTTATTCGGATTAGTAAACGCCTTTTCTTTTCTTTTTTCTTTTTTAATTTTTCCTAAGTGTTTTTATCTTATTTTAGATATAAGAATAATTCTATAAAGCGATAAATTTTAACTTTCATGGGTAAGTATGAATATAAAATTTAAATTTTGCATAACAAATCGTTTGAAAATCAATTGTTTACTACTGAATCATCAACTTTTCGATAGCAAATATTTTTTTGAGGCAAAGAAATACGTAAAACCAGTTTTGAATTGGTGAATGCGAAGTAGTCAAAACACCTCCCAATCTCCTTTTCCTAGGCATCGCCTCCAACCAATCCACGCATCACTCTATGTCTGGTCTCAACACACACACACACACGCTTCATAAAAACAAAATAAAACCCTCCTAAAACCCAACCCCATCGTCCACCTTCATCGGATCAATCAATCGAAGCAAATGAAGCGAAGAGTTTTTAAAATCCCAGATGCAGAGCTTCTCTGCCTCAAAAGATTATCCCCTCCCTCTTCACCAACCCCTAGAACCCTCACCACTTCTCCTTCCTTCTGCCACCGCACCAAATCCCCCTTTTACAGATTTGTCCACTCTTCACCCCCCGCCGCCACCTCCTCCAACCACCTCTTTTCCGACGTGGTCAAACTTTTTCTACAACAGTTCACTCGCCAGGACAAAATTAATATTAATAGCAACATCAAATCAAAGGAGAAGCAGAATCTGATCGACACGGTTTCTTGTTTGAAAGACAAATTGCTTCAAAATGATGACAGCGTTTTTGAGATTTTGGAGTCGATAAAAAATGATGACAACTCCTTGTTTAACGATGGATCTGCTTTTCTTGAGCTTTTGAAGCTCTTGGTTCCTTCTTCCCGTAAATTAGCCCTAGAGGTGTGTTGCTTTTGCTTTCATTTATTTATGAATGAATGAATTTTACTACATCTTTGTTTTTTGTATGATTTGGAATTTTTATCTATCCTGGCTGATGTTGATTTTGACTTTCAACTTTCTACTGTTATTTATCTGGGCTTTTGCTGTCTTTATCTCCTCTTATCGTCTCAGTCTCTACACATTAAAGGTGATGAACAAGCTAGTTAGTTTACTATGATGGGTCCAATCTCATTTTGGTGTAGATTTTTTTTCACTACCATTTCATCCCTGAAGGAAAAAATATTCCTTTTCTTTTTTTTTCCTGAGTGTGGAATTTGTGTCACTGATTTTATCTGCAGGTTTTTAATTGGAGAAGAAAGCAAGCTGAGAACTATACTCCTATGTCAGGAGAGGAGTATGCCAAGGGTATTATGATTGCAGGTAGAAATAAGAATGTGGATCTTGCTGTTGAGTTATTTGATGAGGCTAAAAACAAGCGCATTAAGACGACCAGCATGTATAATGCGCTGATGACTGCTTATATGTATAATGGTCTTGCTGGTAACAGTAAATCATTGTTTCAGGACTTGAAAAGGGACGTAAACTGTAGGCCTTCAGTTGTATCTTATAACATTCTTCTATCAGTTTTTGGCCGATTGATGCTAGTTGACCACATGGAGGCAGCGTTGAAGGAGATGGAGGGTTCACGTATTTTGCCAAACTCAACAACATACAATAATTTAATTGCTGGTTATGTGACTGCTTGGATGTGGGATAGTATGGAAAAAACTTTTCAAATGATGAATGCAGGTCCAGTTAAGCCAGATCTTAACACGCACTTGCTAATGCTGCGAGGCTACGCACATTCTGGGAATGTGGAACGGATGGAACTCACATATGAATTAATAAAAGACCACATTAGTGCTAGGGAGCTCACATTGATTAGGGCAATGATATGTGCCTATTGTAAGAGTTCTAAACCAGACAGAGTTCAAAAGATTGAGACACTAATGAGGCTGATTCCAGAAAATGAATATAGACCTTGGTTGAATGTGTTGTTGATTAGGGTTTATGCTGAAGAAGATAGGCTAGAGCGGATGGAGAACTCAATAAATGAGGCTTTTGAGCATAGAACCACTATATCAACTGTTGGGGTGATGCGAACTATTGTTGCATGTTATTTCAGATGCAATGCACTCGACAGACTGACAGATTTCATAAACCGTGCAAAATATGCGCGGTGGAGAATAATGCGGTCTCTATATCACTGTAAAATGGTAATGTATGGATCACAAAACCGCTTGGGTGAAATGGAAAGTGTTCTTATTGAGATGGAGAATTGCAAGTTTGCCCGCACAAAAAAGACATTTTGGATATTGTATAAAGCCTACTGGAATTGTGGTCAGTGGCATAAGGCTGAGCAAGTAGCAGGATTGATGTGCAAGCACGGGCATGGGATTCCTTTAGATGCATATCCATCATAATGTACCCCATTAAGGAGTTGATTTCACTCATCACAAATTGCTGAAGACATTCAGCTGATCACCTGAATGGTTCATGCAACAATAAATTGAATTGGAACTCCAGTAATTAATAGGTATGCATGTCTCATATTTGGATCTCATTCACTAAACTTGTTACGTATTATGTCCTTAATAGTTCGAAATCTTTCTGGAGTAGCTTTCATTCATTGTTTGCAAAGTTTCTCATATCATACCATGTTTATCCTGTGTCACTTTTGTTGTTCTAAACTATAAAACTCATATTGTTGATAATTATTGGAACTATTTTGCTCCAAACTTGAGAGATTGACCACTATATATTAAATATAATGAAATCTATGAAATTTTGACTGGACTGCGTATCTTCTTTCCACATGAAGTAAATGATTATCAAATAGTTTCTTTTGTTCAAAGAACAGAACCACAGATCTTTAAAACTGCAGAATTAGTATTCTGATGTCATTGATCGAAGGGGTGATTTCAGTGAAATAAAATTGACGATTCTTTGTTAACTTAAACTGTACATGTACAAAAAATGCTTATGTGCTTTGTGGTTTCGATGGAAATAGAGTTGCTTTTTACAAATTTATCTTTGTGAAAGTATCTTATTTTAGGATACATTGATAAATGCAGTTTATCTGCTACGAGCTGGTAAACCTTATTATGCCTTTAGCCCACTTGGTTTGATAATTCCACAAGTTGTTTTCCAGATGAAGAATGCTTCTTAAAATTTAATGAGCATATAGTTTACAAAAACAGTTTTGGGGAAGCACGTTTTTCTTATGGTTAGACTAAGGATATGGTTATGATGTGGCCATAGATGGCATCTGATTTATGTACTTTTAGTTACATTCTTGTTAATTGAATTCCTTGCTGCTTTATGTTGCATGTCACTTAATTGAAACAATTTTTGCTATATCCATTTCTCTCCCTCTCTGTTTTTTTTGGTCATTCCTTTTCTTCCACATCCCTTCTTTTAATTAACCACATTAACCTTTAATTTGACGTGAGCTGTTATCTACTCATGCCCGCTCACCACATCCCAGCGTACTAGCAATGCAGCTGATTTATTTTTGGGACAAAGCATGCTGCTATTTTACAGCTTAAATTGCTTTCAATATATTCTTGTAGAAGAAACAGTAAGGGGATGGGAAAGTCCTCCAACCATAGCATTCTATGATATCCAGATTTCTTGTTGGATCTGCAGGTTCAGTTTGCACTGTCCAATTGACATTGTCAAAACAAGGCCCGTGACTCAAAGCTGAGAAGGGGGTGGAATTGAAGTACAAAGGCTTGTTTCATGCCATCACGACAATATATGCTGAGGAAGGGAGTCTTGCCTTGTGGAAGGGGCTGCTGCCTTGGCTTTTGAGAATACTGCTGGTCAGGCCATTATATGTGCTGTAGCTGACCAAATTACTGGTCTTTAGTAGAGGAGATATCCACACGAAGAACCTTTGTAAGTATTGCTGTAAGTATTGCTTATATTGTTTTGCTTGTTCTGGTTTTGAAGTCCATTGCAAGCATTAAGTCATAAATTTCAAAGTTTTCCTTCTTGAATTGGTATGGCTTTTCTAAATGAATGTTGCCTAGAAGACATTATCAATAATTTGATTGCTTAGGGATAACGGAGTCATACAAAATGCTTTTAAGTTTAGCATTTCCCAGCATGTAATATGACCATATCTTTTGAACGATCTTTATTTGTAGCCTGACCCCTTCTGGCACCTATGATTTTGGCTAACTTCCATCCTTGGTTTGTGAAGGGAAGTTCTCAGTTTTGGCAAGTACATTCTTTGCTAGTGCTGCATTATAAGCTATTATATCCTTTTTACGTATCATGTTGGCAAGAACTTTTCTTTTATGTAGCCAAGTGCAACCTTGCTTGCTTTATAGATTCTCGGAAGTGTGTTAGGTTGACAATGAGTTTGTAAGCTTCTCGTTTTACCTTGTTAAAGAAATGAAGTTAGTAACTTGTAGAAACTCTATGCCATTTTACCGATGAATGAGACAGTAGACGGATGGTCTTCTTGCAATGCAGGAGCTGAGTTCGAATTCCATGTTTGTTAATTAAGCTATTGTATTGGCACTTGGCTAAAACTTTGTGCTAATTTCATGTAATTCTAACGTATTACAAGTAATCAAATTCTTCTATCCACTCCAAAGTATATCGGATGATGATGCTGTTGCCACTGCATCAGTTTAAAACAGCATTCCACATTATGTTGAAACAATATTAGTGTACTGGTTAGTTTGGAGTGGGAAAATGAGTTACGAACAAACCTTTCAAGCTAATGATACAAACGAAAAAGTTTGTTTATATAGCATTGCTGTGGAGATTTATGACAAAGTGATGGAGTGGTGTCATAGGCGTCTAGCTATCATTTAATTTCATTGATGGTTTGGTCCCCTTTTTCTTTGTTGGGAGTTGAAAAACTATATCATCAAGTAAACAAGTCCTTGTACTTTTAGTTCAAGTACTTTGCAAAGAGAGTAGTTGTCCATAGAAATTTAAAGCTTAATTTGTGATCCCCACTCCAAAGAAATGAAAATAGGGGATCGGCTTAACGAGCTTAAAAATACATAATTGGAGTATTTTTTGCCAATCTATTTCAAAAAAAAGAAAAAAAAAGCACGATAGAATCTCAAGATCTATAGAATTTTCTATCAAAATCAATAGAATCTTAAAACGTATGGTGATTTAATTTTTGGAGACGTAAAACTTTCATTTAATTTAAGGAGAGTTATATCTCACACTTTGATGGTAAAAAATAAACAAAAGGAACGAGAAAATTTTCATTCATATCAAAGAAAACAGAGGGAAAAAAAAAGGGATTGTCGCTTGTTAAAAGTAGCCGACGGCAGCCCAATTAGAGTTATTTTTTGTTGAGAGAAACAGAGGAGGGAGAGAAATTTCTTTTCTGTTGCTGGCATGGCATTTTAAGTCAACAAAATGCTAATTTTTTTTTTTCCAAGTTGATCCTTTCTTCAAGAAAACAACTCGTTATTTATGGCTAAATGGGATAAAATTCCGTTGACTTTTAACTCTTTTAAAATTGAGTCTTTGAATTTTAAAGTTTGATTTTTAATATATATATATATATAATTTTTTTTTTTTTGAGATTTAGTCTATCTATTGATTTTTAACTATTATTCTTCTCTCTAAAAAAATTCAATTTTTGGCATTTTGACCTAAAGTTTTGCACACATGTTGAAAAAAATTCAATCAATTTTTTAGAAAAATTCCAATTTTTTTTTAAATAGAAAAGTATATATATATATATATATATATATATATATATATATATATATATATATATATAATATTAACAATGCAAAAAATCAGAAAAAATAGAAATAACTCAGAATGATTTCAAACTTTTTAGGAGCTCCATATAAATCTTACTAAATGATTTTTATTATAGAGCTATTTATGTGATTGTTATTTTTTGGGATAAATAATATAAAAAAAAATGAAGGATTGACTAAATCTTAAAAAATTAAAAGTTCAAGGATTTTAAAAACTAAATCTAAATTTAAAGGACTTAATTTCAAATAAGTTAAAGTTTAAGAAAAGTTGATTAAATTAGCCATAATATATTAGCATGTGCAAATAATTTGGCAATGTAAACAATTTTGCTGTTCGAATCTTACAAACTTGAAGCATAGATGTGCGTTATGTTCCATTTGCAAATTGCAAGATGTAACCTTTTCTTTTTCTTTTTTTTTTAGAAGTGAAAAATTTAACTTTTAAAGAGTAAATTATAAATTAGTTTTTCTTGTTTTGAGAAATAAATTACTTAGTTCTTTCGTTTTCAAAAACTAATTATTTAGTCATTTTAATAATTATTGATCATGATTAATTTAATCTTTTTTATTTTATAAAATATCTTACTTTCTTATTAATCTTTTCATATATTTTATTTTTTCTTAAAAAAATTAAAATAAATTGAAAAATAGCAAAAAAAAAAATTAGTTTTTGAAACTAGATGGACTAATTAATTTGTTTCTCAATAAAAGAGGGACTAATTTATAATTTAGTTTTAAGATGCTGCCGTTTCTCTTGTTTTCCATTACATTATGTGTTTTAGTGACGTGTCTTTATCCACAGATCATGCCCATTTGGTTCTTCTATTGCTCGTAAGAAATTTAAATTTGTTGTTTAATCAATGCAGTACACGATTGCATCATGCTAAGACATTTAAAACAAAAAAACAGCTATAGATGTATTATTTTTCTAAAGAAAAAAATTTCTAAAGATGATAATAACCCATCTTGGTTAATCTTTTATTCATGTTTTCCAAAAATATCTTTTTATTTAAAATTATATTTGAACAATTTTTATAAAATAAACTTTGACTACGAGTATTCTAATAAAATAAATAACTTAAAATTTTAACTAGACAAAATTTTCGAAACACATGTAAATAGAAAAACAAAGGATACCTTTGGTACGGAAGATTATTACTTTCCAAAATAGGAAATGCATAAACATGAAAAATAAATCAGGACACATTTGGTCAATAAATATAAGGCATAAATAAATAAATAAATAAATAAATAACCCTACTGACCGAAGCAAGAGAGTGTGTAGAAAATTTCTATATAAAGCAAACGCTGCCGCAGAGACCCAAAACCCTAGCTCTCTTCGAGCCACCTCACTCTCTCCCATTTTCTTATACATCGCGGCTGTTTTCTTTCTCTCTCTCCGCTATCAAACCAAAAACCCTAGCTTCCTTATCATCCCCTCCTTTCCTCCACCGCCGCCACAGCTAATTTGTTTTCACCACCGTAAGTTCTCCCTTCTTGTTTCTCTTCTCTTCTCTCATCCAACCAGATTGTCTCATAATAATAAATTATAATAACATTCTTTTTGTGCTGTAGAAGTCGGTAATTAATATAAAAAAGCTTCAATAAGATGTCGTCAGACGACGAGAGAGAGGAGAGGGAGTTGGATCTTACTGCCCCTGAAGTCGTCACCAAATACAAAAGCGCGGCTGAAATTGTCAACAGTAAGTAACTGACGCTTCTTTCACAATCTTTTTTATTTATCTGTTAATTTTAATATGAATTTTTGTTTAAATTTGATTGCTTTTTATTGGTTTTAATATTTATTGTTTTGGTAATTATTACAGAGGCATTGCAGTTAGTGATATCAGAATGCAAGCCAAAGGTTAAGATTGTTGATCTTTGTGAAAAAGGAGATTCTTTTATCAGAGAGTAAGCGCTTAATAATCCTTATTTATTGTTTTTTTTAGAATTAAATTAATATAAAATAATGGGTTTTGATTTTTGTTTGTAATATGTAGGCAAACTGGTAATATGTATAAGAATGTGAAGAAGAAGATTGAAAGAGGAGTTGCTTTTCCTACTTGTGTTTCTGTCAACAATACTGTTTGTCATTGTTCTCCACTTGCTAGTGATGAATCAGTCTTAGAAGAAGGAGATATTGTCAAGATGTAAGCCTTCTATTTATGAAGTTTTATGTTGTGGATCGATTTGTTTTTTTTTTTTAAATGTTAATGTATGTTGGCTTTTATTGGTTTGCAGTGACATGGGATGTCATATCGATGGATTTATTGCTGTTGTTGGGCATACCCATGTTCTTCAGTCAGGGCCAGTTAAGGGTAGAGCTGCTGATGTTATTGCAGCAGCTAATACTGCTGCTGAAGTTGCCTTGAGGCTTGTAAAGCCTGGAAAGAAGGTAATTTATTTCTTTGTGTTGTGGTGAATTATTTATTTATTTCTTGTATTTCATTCTTGTGCTGGTTGTTTTGTTCTTGATGACATTTTTTGTTTGCTAATCGTATCTCCTGCACATATTGAGGTGTCTCTTACTGTTCACTTGAACAACTTCTTCTTTCATGACACTGTCTAAGAGCTCCTTTTTCTTCTTGGAGACTCTGTTCCCTAATGATGAACTGTTTTGATAAGCTATGGACCTTCATCCAAATGAAGCTTTTGTCATAGTTACTCTGACAGGGAGGTCTTTTTTTGGGTAATCAAATCAGGATTTTTCATCCTAGAAATTATTAGTGTAATTAGTGTGGATCTTTTTTGGTTTTTTGTATGTTAGGCTAGACTGGGTTGCAAGTGGTTTTGTCTGCTTCTATTCTTACTCCTTAATAGTCTTTCAGTAAGGAAATTGACAAATTCGAAATAGAATAGCGACAGCATCTGTAAGTTTAGGAACTTGAAATACAGGCAACTTTGCCGAGGCAATCTATTGCAAGTTGATTTCCTCTTTTCCCTGTTGCCGATATTATCATGACTGTGCATAGACAACATTAGGTTGATGCTTTTGGATCTTACCTAATTCTTGTACAGACTAAATCCCCACTGTCTTAGTACATTATTTTAGAAGTGTTGTTAGTTTAACTAGAACAAAAATGGAAATAAAAGTGGTTTATGCAGGAAAATGAAATAAAAGTGGGCAACTTTACCGAGGTGATTGTTTGCTTATTGATTCCCTCATTTCCCTGTTGCTGATATCATGGCTATACTTGACTGCTTTAGGCTGATATATTTAGATTATACCTAGTTCTTGTACGGAACAACATATGTACACTCTCAGCATGTTATTTGAGTTAGCTTAAGTTAAAATGGAACTTGGTGTTTCTAGAAAATTATTAAATAGCAACTTATTAATGAAAATAATAAAAAAACTGGCAACTTTGCCGAGGCAATCAATTCCAGTTGATTTCCTCTTTTCCCTGTTGCCCATATGATTCATGGTCCAACTCGATCATATTAGGTTGATCTTTGTAGATCATACTTGTAGCTTGTAATGGACTACATCCTACTATTGGTAGGCAATCTGTAATATGGGGGGGGGGGTTTGGCAAGATGGCACTTCCAACACTGTCCTTCAGTTCAAGATCTCTAAATGATGAAAACTATAATCAGCTAAGGATTAAGGTCCAATGAAGCATCTTTTAGTCATAGTTACACTGATAGAGCATCATCGTGTTCTTCCTTATTTAAAAAGAACATTGCTTATGCATAAAAGTCTGATTAGGAGTTCTTCATGTTTTTTCATTGCATCTTTTTTCATTTTACTCAGCCCCTTATTGCTGTTTTGTGAAAGCATTCGGCTTTGCTGAGTTTTTTGGGAAAATGTAATTGTCCCTAAATGATGAATATTTTTCAAAAGCCATGGACCATCATCCAAGTGAGGCTTTTTTGTCATAGTTACTCTGATAGGGCAACCTCATTTTCCTTTTGTTATTCGTTGTGGTTTTTTTTTTTTTTTTGGTTGGTTTTCCAGTTGACCTTTACTTCAAATATTGAAACAGAGTGTGGTGGTGTTGGGAACTGGTCTGTCTACCTATATCATTGGGTAGATAAAAACATACATGGACTGTGCTTCATTTATCTGTCATATCCATTCATGACTATGTGAAATAGTTCCTTGGTGGCCCTCTTGAGCAATATCTATTTGAGCTTTTCACAGTCATAGGCTTAGAGGAAGGCAACTTCGCCGAGTTCATTGATGCTAAATATCAATTTACTGCTTTTCCTGTTGCCTATATGTAATCTGGCTACTGTTGGTTGCTTGGACCTCCTTATTTATTGTTGGTTTACATTCAATCATCTCTAGCCTAAATGTTTGTGTGTAAGGTATCTATAATCGTGGATATGCACAATGTTCACCTTGTACAGCAATTTATTTTGGATTTGTCATTTTTTTCAAAATTTATAGTATAATTTGATATAAACATAAAATTACAGGTAGTAAGACTGAAATGGATAGGTGAGTTGTTATGGTGAATATTTGATATGGCGCATCAGCTCTCTCTAATTATTGATTTTGCTATTTTTGGTTTGTCACTGTTACCATGTTATTTCATGAAGATTTTATATTTTTTTTATTCAATCTTTTTGTTCATTGAGTTGTTTAGGTGATTTTGCTCTCTCTAATTAATTGTTATTTCATATAATTTTATATTTTTGGTCTGTAGAATAAAGATGTTACAGAAGCCATTCAGAAGGTTGCTGCTGCTTATGACTGCAAAATTGTTGAAGGCGTTCTTAGCCACCAGCTGAAGCAGTTTGTGATAGATGGAAACAAGGTGATTCTGAGTGTGTCCAATCCCGACACAAGAGTGGATGATGCAGAATTTGAGGAAAACGAAGTGTATGCAGTGGATATTGTCACAAGTACAGGGGAAGGCAAGGTAATAATTAAGTCCTCTTGAAACAGCTTATACGTAGTTATTAATTTTGGGTCCTTATATGCTTAAATTGTGTTGTATTGATGCAGCCAAGGCTGTTGGATGAGAAGAATACTACTATATACAAGAGAGCTGTAGACAAGAACTATCACTTGAAAATGAAATCTTCTAGATTTATTTTCAGTGAAATTAATCAGAAATTTCCCATCATGCCATTCTCTGCAAGGTTTATATGTTCTTACATGATAAGTCAACTGGTTTGTTTTCCTTACCCTCTTTACCTATAATTTAAATATTTGTTTGTATTTTCTTTGTAATAGAGCCCTCGAAGAGAAAAGGGCTCGTCTGGGATTAGTTGAATGTGTGAATCACGATCTCCTGCAGCCCTACCCGGTTCTTCATGAGAAGCCTGGTATGAGTCTCGTTTGTTTATTTGCTTTCTTGTTTATTTATTTTTTACAAGTGATGGGTTCTGGCCATAATGCTCAACTGAGACTTTGGCTGATGGTGTTGCAGGTGATTTTGTTGCTCATATCAAGTTCACAGTATTGCTAATGCCAAATGGATCAGATCGGATCACATCACATGCTCTCCAAGAGTTGCAGCCTACCAAGACGATAGACGATCCTGAAATCAAGGCCTGGTTATCTTTGGGTACAAAGACAAAGAAGAAGGGTGGTGGGAAGAAGAAGAAAGGTAAACCAGCTGGATGATTATACAAAATTGCATTGTTGTTGGCACATAGAACTTAACATTTTAATTTGTTGAGCATGATATGTAATTTTTATTTTCTTGAATGTTGCAGCTAAGAAGGCAGGTGAAAAGGCGGAGGAGTCTACAGAAGCTGAACCTATGGATGCAGCCACAAATGGGGCTGCTGCTTAAGAATGAATCTTATATAGATTTGCCCATTTTGTTCAGTTTTTGTACTCTGTTCACCTCCTTGTATCTGGTTGGTTGAGATTATTTTAATATAGTGTCTAGACATTGATCCTAATTGGATTTTTCTTGCACATGCATTCTCATCACTCCCTTTTTTCCTTGTATCTTCCCCATTTTAAAAGGTTCATCAAAAAGTTAAAGAAGGTAAAAAGTTTTTTTTTTTTTTTATCTCTATGATCCTAATTGGATTAGTATTGTTGTCATTGATTTCAAGATCCGATTTGTCTCTCAAGTGAAACTAAATGCTTGTTCCATTTAGTTAGCTCCATAACGTTTTTTGTTTAGTTATCAGCAGTTTCTGCCCCGTTTGCCAACTCCAGTAGGCTTCTTATCCTTTGGACTTCCGTCGGTGTTGAGTTATTCTTGGGTTTCCGGATTTAATAAAAATGCAATGCAAAATTTCGCTCTCTGGTTTTCCCCCTCACACGGTACTTGGCATTTGGTATTTGGTGTTTTGTTAGGTATAAAATTCATGAGCTGCGTTCCCTAGACCTGGTGTTTGAGGTTAACTGAAAACAAACGGCATATAAAATTAATTAAAGTTGCCTTTTAAGTAAATAAATTGTGAACCGTGTATCTTTTGTGAAAAGGAAGAGAAGGAAAACTAACTTGGTCGTCTTATATCTTCGTACAACTTAAGGTTATGTATTACTTTACCGAACCGAAGAATTGTCTTATTTCTTAGTTGTTGATCATTCATTTCCGATTTTAGCTGTTTACCTGATCCGAATTGACTGATATCAAGAAAATAGACATTTCATCATTATTTTAATGTGGATTTCGGTAATCTAATGGTTCGTTTTATTTTCAAATTTTGGGTTCAGTATTTGGAAATTTATTCGTTAAATATACCGAATAGATGTAAATAATCCATTTCTAACATATTTTTAATATACCGAGTTGATGAAATGGAGCTACTTGCAAAATCATTTGAAAAGAATATTGAAAAAAAAGAGAGAGAGAAGTATCAATCTTAGCTTTCTTTAAGGAGAAAATTATAAATTATTTCTTCTAGTTTGGAAAGATGAATTATTTTTTTCTAAATAATTATTTAGTTCTTTATGTTTTAATTTTACTAATAATTTAGTTATTTCATTAGTTTTCTGTTAAATTAGTGTTTTTTTTTCAAATTGTCTTTTTGATTTTGATTGGAGAGAGTGGTTGAAAAGAAAGATAAAGCATTAAAAAGAATAATTTGGAAAAAAATTACTAATTTAACAAAAAGATAATAAAAATCTAAATTGTTGATGGATTTAAAACGAAGAGAACTTATTGATTTGTTTTTATAACGAAGAGAACTTATTGATTTGTTTTTAAAACAAGAAAAATTAAATAATTTATTTCTCAAAATGAGGAGGATTAATTTATAATTTTCTCTTCTTTAACTATGCTCAAATTTATTATTTTTATTTTTTTGAAAAAAAACTATGTTCATGTTTTATTAGCTTAAAGAAAGTCAAAATTGCATTGAATTTGAAATCCTAGGAAGAAAAATAACAAATTGCAGTCAAGAAAATTTGATGATTAAAATCCAATTAACTCTAAATTTTCAGACTGATTAAAAGAATGAATCATCAAAGCACATTGAGAATGTTTGCCATTGCCTGCCCTTTCTCTTCAGCTTTCTCGGGAACCAAACACGATAAAATATCTTTAAAAGAAAAAAACACATCACCGAAATACTCTTTACACCTGTCAAGCTCAAAAGAGAAGGACCCACATCGCATGCCATGCCCATCCTTATCGTAAATAAAAGGGGGCAGCTAGTTAGCAGATAGACATACACCGACCCATCATCTTCTTCCAGCCCTAAAACCCAAAAGCCCTAATATATATATAAACATATTAGCCTTCACATTCTCTCTCTTTTTTGTGCGCTACTACCATTTATTCGACAAAACTAAAAAAATAAAAAATAAAAAAAATGGCAAGTAGTGTTTCCTCAGCTGCAAGCGAGCCAGAGCACAATACGAAAGAAAAAGAAGTAGAAGCAGAGAACGCAACTACAACAGGAGCAGTAGCCGAAGATGAGGATACTGGAGCGCAGGTTGCACCAATCGTTAAGCTCGAAGAAGTCGCTGTTACTACCGGCGAGGAAGATGAAGATTCCCTCCTTGATCTGTACGTTTTTTTTTTTGTAAAAAAATAAGGGTTTTGTTTCTTTAATATTTTTGATAAAATGTGAAGGACTTCTATTGCTTTTTTTTCCAGGAAGGCCAAGCTGTATAGATTTGATAAAGAAGGGAATCAGTGGAAAGAGAGAGGAGTTGGGACTGTGAAGCTTTTGAAACATAAAAAATCTGCCAAAGTTCGTCTTGTTTTTCGCCAATCTAAGACTCTCAAGATCTGCGCCAACCATTTAGGTCTGCATGTCTTTCTGAATGCTAATTTGTTGGAAGGACTCTAATTTACTCTTCAATTTCTTGATGGGATTATCTTCTGTTGTCTGTTAATATTGTGGATAAAGTAATGCTTGTGGTTTGAATTCCTAGAAACAGGACATGGGTTGTCTTTTTATTTTTCTTTTATAATTTTTTTTTTGGGTAAAAAATTAAATTATTGTGTCGAATGATGTGTATTTCAGTTCTGCCGACAATTAATGTGCAAGAGCATCATGGAAATGATAAATCGTGTTTGTGGCATGCTGCTGATTTTGCTGATGGGGAATTGAAGGATGAGCTTTTCTGCATCAGATTTCCTTCGGTTGAAAGTATGTATTTTTTCTTTGATCTGTTATTATTTGCATTATTTTCTGGTGTTTCTCTGTTGAGAATGTCTTCTTTCATGTTTTACTGTAATTTCTTTTTCTGAGTTTTGATTACAATCCATCGCCTTCCCTGCATCAGATTTCCTTCTGTTGAAAGTGTATTTTTTTCTTTGATCTGTTATTATTTGCATTATTTTCTGGTGTTTCTCCGTTGAGAAAGTCTTCTTTCATGCTTTACTGTAATTTCTTTGACTGAGTTTTGATGACCATTGCCTTCCTTTCAAAAATTGAATGTTCATGAACTGTTTAATATTTCCAGCTTGCATTTTATTCAAAGTAGTAAAGTTTTTTAAACATTCGTGATAGTTTATATGATGGCTCAGCAGGAACTAATTGGTATTTTATGCCTGAGAGAGGACGGGGGATGGAAGTATCATTAGAGTTTCATTATAGCCATGTATCATGGCGAATCCCTATAACTGGAACAGTAACTGAACCTAATATTTTTGTTGGATGTGTATTTTTCTATTGGGCTGGCTGCACAGAGTTCTATCTTGATTTTTTTTTCTGTGCATGCTGATGCATTCGGTAATTTGCATGCGTCAGTTCACATCAACCATTTTTGCATGCCGATTTGCTAGTTTGCATGTGTCAATTCACATCAGTGGTTGAGAGCATTTTAGGTGAGGTATGGCCATAGCTATTGGGAGTTGATTAGCAAGTTTGCCCTCCCATAGTTACCAGATTCATGAAACTCCTTGCGTTTTCCAATCCACAAACACGATCCAGATCACGATACATTAACAAACTGGAACGTGGATTTTTACTACCTACTTTTTTTTTGGTGCACGAGCTGGAACAAGGATTTTTACCTAGTTGCTATTAACTTATTTGCCTTCTTTTTTGTTAACTTAAATGTATTAAACTAGGTCATTCTAATCTATCTTTCGATGCATGAATTTAGTTTGTAGTTGTACTGCCTATAATTTTACTTCATAATAGAAAGACTGGGTTTTCTATTTTCTAAGCACTAAAACATATTATTTTAAAAAAACACTGTATACTCCATATATAATTATATGTGCCAATGGTACAACGACCCAGCCAAGTTACCAAGAAGCTTGATGTACATAAGTTTGTTGCACAATTACTTGCAAAAATGCTTAATTTGGTTTTTTCAACTTCTTGAACCTGCAATGTATTCCAGATTTTTGTCAGCTTGAAGATATGCTTTCTTCTTAGGTTTTTAACGAGCATGTGATAATAAATTGAGTACTCTTCATGTTCGTGGCTTGATACGATAATAAGTAGGCTAATTTAACTTGTTAAGAGTATCATGGAAACACAGCAAAAGTGTTCGTCTAAAAGTAGGCTAATTTCAGCAGTATATGTTATTTTTTTAAGGTCTTGGTAACTTGTAGTTACAAAATGTGATGCTGATTATTCAAATCCTACATGAAAAATACTAAAAGTCTGAATATCACATCATGTTTCCTTGTTCTGACTTACATTTTTGTGTCAATAGACTTCTGAAATGTGGTGAAGCTAATCTCTGTTTATACTGCTCGCGAAACATAATTAATCATGCACTGTCATATGTTCTTTCTTGCTCTGTCTTGTAAGAGGCAAGTGATTTCTGGAGTATGGGTTTGTAATATCTCTTGTGGGATGCTTTGATTTTGATTAGATTGCAAAAATTTCAAGGAGACCGTAGAAGAGGTTGCTGAAAGTCAGGGAAGGAAAGAGGACAGTGAAGATGCTGCAGATGCTGCTGCTGGACACCTTGAGAAGTTGAGTGTCGGGGATACTAAAACTGAAGAAAAAGAGAAGGAAGAGTTACCTGTTGCAGCCAAAGAGGTTAGCGAAACCATAGCTGATAAAGCAAAGGAAGACGGAGAAAAGAAGGTTGAAACAGCAGCAGACGAAGCGAAGGAAGATGGAGAAAAGAAGGACGAGCCGGCTTCATCTGCATAGAACTGAAAGGGAGCTCAGCTGTCAGGTCTGTCCTGATAAAGTTTCCACGAGTGATTAGTGGAAGGTTTTTCCCACAGGTTTCGACAATTGTCGGTTTATGTACACAGTTCATTAGTTGTGTTGGAACTTGTGGATGGCTTTGATTTGCCTGTTGGTAAATTATGGATCATAATTAATAGATTTTTAGTCTTAAGACCCTTTTTCTTGGCAAAAATCCTGGTCCGTGGAGGCCAAAAAAACTGAGTGAGTGCTTGCAAGGTCTTTTCTTATTTCCCCTCCACGAATTGAGTTTGCTCCATCTGATGTTTAAATTTAGAGGTCTTATTTACAAATTTATGCTTGCTTTGCATTGAAACCTTTGATTTTAAAGCATGAAAGCAAACAGCATTGATGGTCTTTCAGCCTCTTGCATACATCAGGATGATGTGTGTCTAACCGTTGGTACAAACAAAATTACTCGTGATGTGTCACGATTTTAATTGACTTGTGACCTGGGAGTCAGCCAGAACGTTCAACTTTGATCAGGGGACCAAAATCACATAAGCCATGGGATGGCACTGGATTAAAAGTCATGAGATATTAATTTATACTTAGCCCCAGTTGCAGTTTCATTTGCAGTTAACAGGTGCTTGAATTTGCAAATGATAGTGCAAAGTTCTGCCTCAGCCTGGGGCTGGCACCAGAGTGGTGTCAAAATTCTATGAAGAGTCGGATTAACACCTCAAGCCTGCTAAAGAAGAACAATAAATAGGAGATTAGAAATGATCATCCATCTTTCTTCTCCACTTGCAGTTTTCCAAAGATATTTACCATAAACACTCATTTCTGAAGTAATATTTTCAAGCATTCAAGTTCATAAGCATTACATAAAGGATTGGATTGGATGTGAGAACAAAAACAGGTAACAAATCAACAAAATGTACATCTTTTTTCTCCCATTTCTATAAAATCTTCATTTCATTTGTAGAGTCGTAACAAAACCTATCAACTCAATGCTGCGACCTTCGTGCCTTGAAAATCTGGAACAAGAAAGGAGCAGCAAGCTATGTACAGATTTTCCTGTTGCCAAAGGGGCCTTATACAAATGAAAGTTAGAATGTAGACGTTGTAAAGCAATCACCCAGCTCATTCTTGTAAAGAAAAAAAACGAAGAATGTCAAAACCACCAAGCCAATTCACCAATAAATCACCTGGAGTAACAGACAAGTTGCACAGTTAGATGCAAGCCAACAAAAAACTGAGCGCCAGCACTAGGCCAGTATATCAGAATATCGAAGTAACTCTGGATAGAAATGCCAAATGAATGCCGGTCACGAAAAAGTCTTTGTATCAATAGGAAGCAAGAACTTACATCATGACAACCAAAAATTGAAGGGGCCCTGATATGTGACCACCGATAGAGAAAAAAGAGAGTACTGTTCCTGTCTATGGCATCTTCAAAGCCTGTTTCAATTGTGCAAATGCTGCAGGATGCATTCTACTAATGGCTGAATTAAAAGATTCCCCATGAAGAGTAGCACATGTTTGAAGATTCTGTCTTACTGAGTTCTCCAAGGACCATCGTTTGATAGGGTCCGAAAATTTAATCTGAAGTGAAGAACACATTAGAGGGGTTATCCTGCAATATCACCGATTTCATCTTCTGAATTCAGCACTTCTTAGGTAAAATAAAAAAGAAGTATTTTCACCTGTCTTTTTCTGTACTCTCTACTTGGAATAATGCCCTCACCATGGAACTTACTGGAACTCGTGTTATCACCACTGCCATTTATAATAGTAAGGTTAAGAAATGTGAGTCTAAAAGACCCAGTAAACACCAAATCAAACTAGACAAGGGAGGTAACCTGGACTCTTCCTCTGTCAAATCATCATTTGCACCCAAAATTACACTCGTACATACGCTGCATGAATTAAAATCATGAACCAGGTGTAGGTCATGCAAAGCTGTTGTAGCAAATGATAGCAAAATTCAAATTTGAACCGCACCTGAGGATCTGATCAAGTTTATCGAGGACTTGAGGCAGTCTTAGTGTCAAAATTATGGAAAGTGCTAACCCAAATGTCCTTTTCTGGTCGGAAGATGCATTATCTATCTGTACAAAAATATTAAAACAAATATAAAGCTAAAACAGTGAGGCTTGCTGGCCATAAACATTAGAAAAGAATTATGCTGGAGTCTATATATCAATTAAAGATTCTGCACATAGATTTCCTCACTTCCAGAGATGGCATGAGTTGCAATTAATTATGGCAGTCTATGCATGGGAATGTCTAAACCACATTTGAAACTAGTTACTTGCAACATACTTAGGGATGGCAGTGGGCAGGGTACAAAATGGGTACCTTACCCAGCCCGCCCATTAATTATCCTTTTAAAATACCCTAATGGGTAATGGACTAAATATGGTTAAAATAGCATTACCCATTTATGTTAATGGACAATTTATTCATGAATATGGGTACTTTATTTTTACACTATTAATACCCATCTTTTACCCATTAACGAAAAAAGTACTAAGACACAAAATTTTAAAATAAACAGAAAAAAAGGGAGCAAAAAGTATGTAATTAATCATTCAGATGGCTTCTTTGATATTATTATTATTATTATTGTTTATATATTAAAAAACAAATAGTATTTTTAACGAACTTATGTAATTAACTACGGTTTCGTTGATATTATTATTATTATTATTATTTATCATTCAGTTTAACATTTATCCAAACAATCACACATGCAATTTGACTAGTGAATCTCTCTATTTTATTATTATTATAATTATAATTTGTGAATTATTCTTCACAAATCTCATTATTAATATTACTCTTAATATGGATTAATAGCCTTTTTTTTTCTTATTGGTCAAGTCAATCTAAACATTATCGTGAATAATATTTATTCACAACTCAATTATCAGATTTTGGACATTATTATCACAGTACTATTACTACCGCAGTTGAGATTTTTTGATATTATCGACACCTAGCAGTCAATATCTTCAGTTAATTAATTGTACGTAAATAATAATAATTATAATAATAAATAAAGTGATATTATTAACTAATTCATTTCCTTCCAAATGATCCATGGTCATGAAACATACTAAAAAAGTCAAAAGAGTTTTGTTTGTTGTTTTGCTTCATTTTTCAATCTCAAGTGTGCTCTGGTACCTTTTTCTCCCACATGCAAAAGCTTTTCGATTTATTTTGGTTCAGCAAAATGTCTTGGAGCAAATTTCAAGTTTAATTGTTGTGGTGCCCTTTTGGATTTATAAGAAAAATAAGAGTTAATGGCCTGGAAAAAACCACTGCAAGTTTTTTTTATCTTTCTCAATTAAGAAAAAAACTTTGTATAAAAAATAAAAAAAATTAATTAATGGTTTGTAAGATAGTCCAACTCGTAAATCTTAATTAACTTTAACAACTACTTCATATTAATTAACTTCATCATTTCAGTTAAAAAAATTCAGTAAAACAAAAAAATTGAAAAAAAAAGTCTTCAATTTAAAGAAAAGAGTTAACGGGTAAATGGGTATGGATAGGGTATGGGCATGGTATGATATAATGAATATAGGCAGGGTAAAGAAATGGGTAGAAGATTTTTAGTGGATAATAGGTAGGGTAAAGGGTATCGTATTTTTTTGTGGGTAGGCTAAGAGATTGGCTTAATGGGCTGGGTACCCAGCCCATTATCCCTAAACATTCTCCATAATGAATGGGTGCATATAAGTTAAAATAACCTGCTAAATTAGAAAAGGACAAAAATAATTATCTGCATAAGTATCTTCGAAATGAAAGCATGATTTACTGACCTTGTCAAGCCATATGTCAACCAAACAAAGAAGTATATTTTCCTCAACTGCAATATCTGCCTGCTGGAGAAGCAATGAAAGAGATGGTTCTGCTGTCAATTGGGCAAGGTAATTGGTGTTCATCACCAAAATCCTTGCTAGAATTGCAGCTGAAGATGTTTTAACAGCTGCCTTGGAAGGCTCAAAGTCATCTCTTCCACTTAAACATATCATGATTAGTTTCTAGCAACAAGACAAAAAAATTGGTTAAAAGCAATTCAATACGTATCAAACAGCAACTATATAACTGATCAGTTTCAAGAATCTAACACAAGAACTGCACTCACTTGCAAAGTACTGCTGATAAGTAGGGGCACTTCTGCAGGGAAGCACTGCAAATTGAGAAAGGAAAGTCGTAAATCTGATTGGATTGATTGATTTTTCACAACTACCAAAAAAGCTCCAGAATGCCTAAAACAGCCAAAAACCTCCAAGAATCATCACAAAAACTTCAGTCCCAGAGAAATCCCCAAAAGGTTTTGTAGTTTTCATCTCCATTTCACAAATATTTCTTCACACCAGAAGTTATAAAACATATTACCAGCTATTATTTTTTTGAAAATAGAAAAGAAAGATCAACCTTAAATTAGTAATTGAAAAACAGCAAGGACTTGTTTCAGATGCTATACACACAACAGGATAATAGACTTCAATAAGATGGAAGGCTACAGTGCCAGGAGCACAAATAGGCAATCCATGACAAACAGCAAGGACTTGTTTCAGATGCTATACACACAACAGGATGATAGACTTCAATAAGATGGAAGGCTACAGAGCCAGGAGCACAAATATAAACTGTTTCTCTTTATGTTCATTACAATAACAATCATAGACCATGCCATTGACGTAACTTGGCCAGAAGAAATAATTAACCTAGAAAGGTGTAGATAATGCATATATGCTGTTGGGCATTCTGAGAAAATAATTCGGAGTATTCCATGAAACACGGATTAATGCTTTTTTTTGCCCCTTCTTTTGGCATGTTTGATAGTATAACCTACAAGGCACACTCAAGAAGATGCCTCGTTTCGCTGAAATTTTTTGTTTGGCTGAGAAACTTGATAGAAAGGAAATTCCAGCATAAAAATCTATATTTTAACACGTAAGGGTTTAACGTCACATAAGACCCACCGGATAGGTCGAATGCGTTTCTGGCGAAAAAGACAAATCCAGAACAGCAATAATCTTTCAGGCACTGTAGATAAGTGTCAACGCAGATATATTAAATAATTTACGAGCATTGGACAAGAATTTGTGTTTAACAGGGCATTAGCCCGATATCAAGACATGGGCATTGATAAATTCAAAAGCACAATAGTTTCCGTAGGTTTAGAGTACTCTCCTTTTTTTCCCTCTTTAATTTTAACAGCATAGAAATAAATGGTAAACTTTTTGTCATAAAAGATAACTAAATAGAATGCTGTTTCAAGTTCAAGCATCATATATAGGCTGGAATTTGATTCAGGAAAAATTAAAATTAAGTACCTGTACTAATATGTCAATGACAGGAAGAGTTGAAAGCAGGCCTCTATCATTAACATTTCCAACAATCAGATCTAGAAGTTTGGCAACATTGGAAGCATGCATTCTTAGAAATTCAATCCCACCCAAAACTACGTAATCCTCAAAGATGTTTATAGCGACCTGCAATTATATTCAAGTCAACAAAATATCATAAACCAAGTCTAGCAACCGTAGGTTGGACGATGACAAAACTAGATGCAGAACAAGAGAGCTACGCTTAACACAACAAGACCAACACATAGTAACTTCTGTTGAACCTTAAATTCAGGAATAATATACCAGATATTACAGTGAACCTAACCTGCAAGTGATCAAAACTTCTTTCCATGATTTCCACGAGACATGGGAAGTATGCTAATAGTCGAGGCTCCATTGCAGGAGCATGAGAAAGTGTTGCTTCCCATAACTGCAGATTATCCAAGTTAAATTTGCTATAATCCATGGACTATTAAAAGCAGCATAGAGAAAACACACACACACACAAAATACAGAACATCAAACTAGGCATGGTAAGCTAACCAGCATGCCGTCCTCTAAAAGATTGAGTATATCTGGGCTATTTATATTAATTCCACTTTGGAGAATAGGCAACAGCACATTGTAGCAAGTAGGTGACTGATAGCCAAGTTCAACCACAAAATTCCGCAAAGCAATGAGAATCTGAATCTGTAGAAGACTCTCACCAGAAGCCTCCTCCCAAACCTTTTCAAACAACATTAACAAAAAAAGTGACATCAAAAAGGCCAAACCATAGTACGTGTCAAATGTGCATGGTATGATTATTTTCAAGGATCACCAGATAACTAGCAAAACTCTCAATTCCACACACTTGAACCCAATTTCTTCAAAGCATAACAGCTCAGAAACTCAGAAAGAGTTCAGTCAGTGGAACTCCTTTTAGTCAACTAAAAATAATGTGTTGTTGTCAATGTGAACAGGCATAGATAAAATGCTTTTCTTTTTGGTATGTAACTCTTAACATGTTTAAGCATTAGAATAACAAAAGATATAATAGTTTGTCCAATACCTTCTGGAAAAATTGCACCAACTTGTTTGCAAATGGAATGATCTCATGGACATGTCCAATAAGAACAGAGATCAAATTCAAAACCTGAACCTGAAATTACATGAAAGAAGGAGAAAAGGTACTAAGAGCAGACTAAAGAAGTAGAATAACATCTCAGTTGAATTCATAAATAATTCAGCTAATCATGCTTTAGCTACCTAGCCTGCAGGTTAGAAATGTGTGGTTCACGAACTTTAAATATTTAAAGAATGTGGAGTACCAGAAAGATGTTCTTGAAGAAAGATGTTTGCAACATCAATGACCCACAATGATATTTGGACACTTTCAGAATCAGTTATTTTTTAACATGCATCCGCACATGCATTATTCAAAATTTTGAAATTAAGTATACTGTAAAAGAATAACTATATTAGATTCATTCCACTAACTTTTATGTAGGTTTAACATAGATTCGTGGGTTTTTAATCAAGCAAATAAGAGACATTATACTTAAAAAATATTTATTTAAACTATTGAACTAGCTATGAACAACATAAAAAAAAAATTCATTTAAGTATTGGGTTTAAAAAATATAACCACTTGAATAATTCATATTTTTACAGAATATTTTCTAGCTAGTTCAATATAAAAACAGTTTTTAAAATAAATATTTAAGAAGAAGCAACGGTAAGATGAATGCATCCTGTTTTTTTTTTGTGAAAAAAGTACAAACAACCTTTTATCATAAGCTTCTTGGCTAATATAACTTATTAGAAAGTTGGGGGGAAAAAAACTCTGCAATCAAATAATTTGATAGAGATTGTGTTATGTAAATAGTTAAGATGAAACAAAAAATATACAAAAAAATAGATTTGTACAATGAAGATAAAAGAGAAGGAAGGCTACGCACGAACGAAACATAAGGAAACCAAGGTACAGTTAATCTACAGTGCAACTGAGTCACAATGAACAGTATTTGAATAGTAAAAACTCTTATTCTTTTAGTTTGTTTGTTAATAGGGAATGAATAGAAGTTCTATGAATATATGAATGCTTTAGATTAAAGGATTCCTTTTCTATCACATGATCAAAAGGACGATAAAGTTCTATAAATCCTCTTGTCCATAGGAGCCAAAGGTGACATGGAGAAAAAATCAAAGGTTCAATGTAATTACTAAATGAGTTAATTTTGATGTAAATTTATTATTTTTTAGTTTTGATGTTTTTTATATTTATGGGCTTATTTTTCACTCATTTTTTTTAGCTTTGATGATCAAAATATAGTGCCAATAAGGTCCTATATAGGATAGAGATCATTTAGGAGGTCTGTTTTATGTTATTTATGGTTTTACATAAATATGCATGTAATGGAAACAACAAAAAAATAGCATATTAAAAAATAACATCGTTGAGAACAGGGGTATAGAGTCTTTCTATATATAGCTTATGATTGGACATTTTCATCCCCATAATTCATCCTAAATCAACGATAATAAATGCTTGACACCCCTTTTTTTCACAACGGAAGATACAATATAATTTGGACTGGCTAGAAGAGAAGAGGCAATATGTTACAGTCCTTAAGGAGATGAAGGAGGTTAACAAGAAAGGCAAGGAAGGGCATCCAAGCATGCAATGGTATCCAGGTGAACCAGAAGCACCAACTTACCTTTGAGTCAAATTCCTGAACCTCCTCAACCAACTTAAAGCACGAATCAAAGCAGATTGGAAGAAGATCTAGAAATTCTTGCTCTGAGAAGTTTGCATCCTCAATATGCAAACACAAAGACCGACAAGCTGCCAGCTAGAGCAAGGAAGTACTAACTTCAGTAGTTGAAATGGGAAATGCAAAGAACAATCAAACGATCAAAAACAAGGAAGAGAAAGGAGATGTGAAAGCACATAACAGAAGTTATTTCAAGCATCATACCCTGACAGACAGGTCTTTGTCTTCTAGCAATCTAATCAATCCACAATACACTGGTCTCTTTGTGTCCGCTTTAATCTGCGGAGAAACAAATATGTGCAACCACAGTAGAAATTATCAAAGGTCTTTAGACAGAAAAGCAAAGATAATTGTCTAATGTGTCAATACATGGGACAATCCTCAGCCTATTTTATTCCACAGCACAGGAGCAGTATTCTAGAATGAATGAGGAGTATGCATAGAGCCACAAAAATATGAAGACTTCTAGAGATCGTCATGCTACAAATCACCATGCTGAGAAGAAACAGGACAAAATGCACGCATGCTTCAGTCTCGACAATGAGGTATAACAATTACATTTTCTTTCTTGAAGAACAAAAAGAAAAAGTTACAAACACTTAAAAGAGTTCTCTACCATGAAGCTTAGAAAATGACATTACCTCAGAAACCCATTGTCCTAGTATCAGCGCAACTTTTCGATGGATGATACACATATTTGGATGATCATTTGACAGTTCAAGGGATAAAGCACCATTAAACCTGCAATGAATGGTTTCAGAGAGAATTAGATAAGGATGGATCATCGTGTCGCCCGTTAAAACAAATACTAGGTAAATAAAATTTGGTCATGAAACAACAACCTAATCAACAAATACATTCCAGCAACTTCAACTCCAAAACTTCAAAAAATACATGCTGATAGTGATCAAATAATATCCTATTCATTTTTGTTAACATCATGTTTCTTAAACAACTATACATCTGATCCTCTGCATATTTTTAGAAGCAATTTTTCATGTATCTGAAGACATTATCAGACCTGGAGGTCTATCCATCTACTGACACCCTAAACCACGCTTATTGAATTTAGAAGTAGCTACCAGAGGCATGCAATTATTTAAACCCAAATGACAATACCTTTGCATTCACAAAATTACGAAGCTAGCAAAGAATTGAGAAAATGTTTGGCACCAACAAAACAATTATTGTTGCAAAATAATATCTTTTAATGTGACTGCAATTAATGATAACTAATTCATACAACATACAAATTGATTAGATAACAGCAGTAGCATAGAGGAGAATTCTTATACCAATCTTTGAAGCTCAGGTAGTTAGAAAGCTCATAGTAAACATAGGCAGCAGCACCATAAGCAGCATCTTTAAGAAGTAACCCTGGAGTGATTTCAGTAACTGATGTTGGGCAAGCATTCATTGCCTCTTGAAGGATGGACACCACAACGGGGCCCAACAGCTACAAGTAACAATCAAAACAATATAAGATCACATCTGTTAGTAGAGTGCTTTGCGGATTTTAAAGCTTAATCATTCCAAAGTTGAATTCCACCTACTTGGCTATGATTTTCAAACAATACTATGTATAAAGCTTCAGCACAAGGCCTCAGTTTTTCAGTCCACTGAATCATATCCTGCTCGTGATGAAAAGATTCTGGGTTTTGGTACAACTCCTCCAGATCGCTAGCTGTTAGAACAAAATACCTGGCAAAATATCAATCGCATATAATTATCTGAAATGCAGATAATCACAACAAGGGGATGCAGAATACTGAAAAAATATGCACAAAGCATTTAGAGCAATATGTAATATTTGTCCTCATTACCAAACCATTCAGAAACCCATGAAGTAAATAGAAATTCCTCAAGAGGGAAAAGAGGAGGCAATGTTTGACTTGAGATGTGATTAACCTGACCAGATTTGGCTCATATCCCACACGGAGAAAGAAACACACATTAATGAATATTATAATATCATTTAGAATCCATGAATGTCAGAGTACTTTTGTTCAGGGAGAGGTTAGCATAAAGTTGAACCTGTATTGAAAAAGGGAAGAAAAACAAAAAGCAAAAACATAAAAAGACCAAGGCTCTTTTAGGAAAAAAAAAAAAAGAAAGAAAGAAAGAAAAGAAAGAGCCATAGATCAGGACAATCAAAGATGTGAGATCCTGGAGAACATACTTCGTATCAATATACAGAGACAACCTATCAACAGTGCAAAATGGTTTCCTTTATGAACCCAGAACCCTAGAGCAACAATCATAAGATCAAAATAATGCTTGTGGTTGCTGCAGCACTTCACTCAAATCAATTTAAAAAATGAACCCCCATGCATTTTGAAGTTTTGAGTATTCTTATGACTTATAGGCAAAATAATGAAGTGAAGTACAGGCTGTGGTGTCACTACCTCCTTATTAACACATTACACAAAAGTACTATACGTTCACTTGGGAGAAGAGAAGTCAGGACACCGCCAACAGCATTGGAAATGTTCTTTTTCATCTGCTCCATTGTAATCACACTTTCATCCATTACCCGCCCAGTGAGATTTAGCTTATACTCTTTACACTCAAGTACACACTTCACCATCACCATGCACTGAATCAGGAATTGCTCAAATGATAAAATATCTGGATCTGGATCAGAAATCTTGTTTAAACAGAAATCCATGACAGGAGGAAGGACAGACTTGTCACCAAATGAATAAGGATGTCTGCCCTGAATTGCGACTAAAACCTTAATCAATTTAGTACATGCCCGCTTTATGAAGTCCCAAAATTTAGGATGTCCCTTCTGGAAAGATGAATCTGTCAAACACAATGCAAGAAAATAAGTTCAATGCTAAACCTTTTCCCTTCAATGATAGGAAAATAACACTCTCGGTATCCCCCTACAGTTTAGAAAGTAAAATCATTATTTCCATAAGCAAAGCTGTGTGTGTGCATGCATTGAGGATCTGAAATGACATGCAAGATAGTAAATCCAATTCAATATTTTTATATAACTTTCTCCCCTGGACTTCCTATTTCATAAAATGTTTGACAATGATAAAAATTAATGTTGGTCTATGACATTCTTACTTGTATAACTGAATAGCCAACTCTTAAGACTAGCATTAATATTGCAGCCACACTAAACATTTTTTCAATTGCAAGGTTTATAGCCCTCCTACAACTGTAATTTTTTATTTTTCTATTTATTAATTTATTACTGGGTTTTTTTTTTTTTTTTGTTGGGGGGGGGGGGGTGTTGAGGGGCTGGATTTATCAAACATAGATTAACACAAATTTCCACTTAGGATATGCGAGACAAATAAAATTTTAAAAACAAGAGCATTATCTCACAGAATGCGAGCAATGATTGAGTGGCTTCCAAGAGTGCAGGGGAAACCTCCTTAACTGGTCGAACCTCCTGACAGAAAAATAAAAAAAATCAAAAATCAAGTGATCATCTGCTAAGTTAAATTGCAGTAAAAGATGTGTCAAACTCTTAAATCTGAAAAAAAAGAATTAAAGAGGAAGAACTGAATAGCTACCTGTACACATTTTGAATCACTTGGAAATCCTGAAATAATCAATTGGCGGATTATTTTTAAACACAATAGCCATCTCTCACTTATTAGATACAGCTCATCATGACGCTGCTCCAGAGCATTAGGAGTATAGCTTTGAGCAAGTGTAGAGAAACGATGTATTATGGTTTGAAAATCGCTTTGCCAAAGGCTCCAGCTATAATCGAACAGATGGGAAGATATCTGACAATGAAAATTTTTTGATACATAAGACACAGGACCATAACTCTTTGATATAAGAGAGAACTATTTGTTTGAGAGCAAATTTTGGTTTGTGCCCATTAATTATAAGAAGATCATTAACTCATGTCCACTGCTAGGAATGTCTAGGGATGGCAGCGGGCAGGGTACAAAATAGATACCCTGCCCGCCCGCCCATTAATTACCCTTTTAAAATACCCTGGTGGGTAATGGGCTAAATATGGGTAAAATATTATTACCCATTTATATTAATGGACAGTTTATTCATGAATATGGATATCCTCTTTTTACCCTATTGATACCCATCTTTTACCCATTAACATAAAAAAAAAAAAAAAAAGAAGAAGAAGAAGAAGCAAACCATCACAGTTGGGTTTAGTCCCAAACGGGTAAGGGACACAAACATTCCCACACTTTTCTTGGCAGCCAGGTTTTACATCTGCTCCAGCTGTTATTGTGGCCAGTAATAGCAACATCACAAGCAAAGACACTCATATGACAGACTACCACAAAACATTAGTAAATTCAAAGACAACCGAGTAGATGTAGTCTTAAGAGCCCTTTCTTTGACCTTTCTTTTTAGAAGATTCATAGTACTCAAAACATGTCAAGTAGTTGGGCTTGAGCTAGACAAAATACAAATATGACCAATTATATAGAAAAATCTTCAATTTAAGGGAAAAAAATTAGCGGGTAAACGGGTATGGACAGGGTATGGGCAGAATATGATATAATTGGTATGGGCTAGGTAAAGAAATTGGCAAATGATTCTTAGTGGGTAAATGGATAGGATAATGCGTATAGTATTTTTTAGTGGGTAGGGCATGGGATTGGCTTAATGGGCCAGGTACCCAGCTCATTGCCATCCCTGAATGCCTACCCATAACTGATATCATTAGCTCATTATAAGGCCAGTAGTGTTATCTATGAGCATTCTGAATCCAGCAGCCTGAAATGCTGGTACTTCTTCTGGAACAAGGTTTGCATAAATGCTGTTCCATGTTAGGAACGTTATTATCAACAACTGGCATACCAACCCTAATCCATTCACATATCTTACAGGAAGTCAACCTTTTTCTTTGTCTGGTTAGATGAAATTTGAAAATCCTCAACCGAATAGCTAAAGGAAATGTTCTAAAGAATACTACCATAAGGAGAAAAATTAAAGTTGATAATGCTCGGTAGGTATACCTCTGCATAGTTCCTTTGGTCAGCAGTAAGACGTTTAGTTGATAATTCCTTCAAGGTTCGAAACAGAATCAAAAAAATCCTATGAGAAGTAGGGACATCTGCCGATTGAAGCTTGTGTGCTAAGACTGAAAAGAGCTCTGGCCTAAAAACATTGAAATAAGAGATCAAGAAATATAGTTAGCTGAATGAAGTAACCCAGGTACATCACAACAGAAAGAAGAATAAACTACAAGTAGGGAAGCTAAGTAATTAAAATGACAGTCAATGCAAAAAATAGGAGTTAGCACTAATTATTAAAGGTACAAGTTTGGCAATCTAAAAAATCTTCAACAATATCCAAATCGCTAAATGCATAATCAGTAGCTAAAAAAAAGCATACAACTCAAGAGCATCCATCACTATATGGGATACATATGTAGTTGCCAGTCAAAGGTTGTGACGGTTTGTCACCAAAACTCATGTAAGAAATAGCAACTGTCACAGGATGATTCAGCCACTCAAGGAATATTAGATGACTCCACCAGTTTTTGCCACCGCTATTTTCATCTTGGATTCATCGAGATAATTTCAATAAGTTTCCTTGATATTGGGACAGATATGATAAGGTTGCCAAGCAATGACAACAGAATTACAATAGACTATATGCTTCTCTTGTTTGCAATGGAATTGCATCCATACAATCCACCACCCCCTCCCCCAAACCCCACATCCCTGCTCACGCAAAAAGTAAAAATAGGATAAAAAATCCAACTCTAAGTTTGGTATTCAATATCAAAATGAAAGTTCCAAAAGAGTAACACCAATGAACTTGTACAAAAGAAACATCCGGCAAGCTCTAGGCAAGATGCAATAAAATGTGCTTATAGCAACATATACTACAAGAACCCATAACAGATAACTAGAAGATCAACCGACTATGAAAGAATAAATGATATAAAAAAAAATGGCAGAAAGACATACCATTCTCTAGGATAATCAAGGCGGGCAATCTTGGAAATGAGGACTGCCAACAGCCCAGCTATCTACAGTCATAAAAGAAAAATTCAAAACATAAATTAGCAAAGAAAATCAGAATGCAACTCTCATAAACCCCTATACACAAAGTTAAATTCGTCACCTTATCGTTCTCTTCTCTCAAATGTGACAGTAATTTCTGTCTCAAGTGGTTTTTCTCCTCGCTGCTTATGGCCCTGCTCACAACAAAATTATCATTTCATAAACTACACCAAAAATAACAAAAATCCAAAATGCAAGCTCAAATTATAAAAATAACGAGACTAAATTCGTACGCAGAATCCCGCCGGTTCCTCCAGTACCGATTGATACTATTCTTGAAATAAACCGAAGCTAATAACCGAACATCAACTTGCGAAGCTAAATCTGCTGCAGTTATAACTTCCTAAAAAATTCAATAATTCACACGTGCATTACAATTAAAACCGGGGTAAAACCCTAGAAAATGCAAAACCAAAACCGAAGAAAGCGAGCGAGAGAGAAGCGGAGAGAGTTTACCATGAGACAGGAGCAAAAACCAGGCCGATTCTCGAACTGAGATAGCGCCGCCTCGGCTGGCTTGCGGACGCTCTCATCGCCGCTCATTGAATTCGTCAATAAGGAATATATCGTTCCTAAATCGGAAGCTGAGAGCGCCATAGCTGCTGCTGCTTCTGTTGCTGTTGCTCTTTTATTAACTTCTCTCTCGCTTGGAATCGGATCGAAGAGAATTTTAAAGTGATTTTAAATTACTTTTTTGTGGATTATTTTAATTTTGATTTCTGGTTTTTGTAATGATTGATGGTGCTGATTGTGATTATATGCTTCTTGGTGTTTCTAGAAGCTGAAAATGAAGCGAGAGAGAAACGGAGAGGAGAGTGGAAAAGCTAAAGAGAGAGAGAAGCTAGCTGCTGTTTGGGTGCAGCTTATATTCGGTTTGGGTTTCGGTTTCTTTCTGGTCTCTAGCCTCTACAACCTGGAAACTTAGGGGACTCGGGTGACGTGAGGACGAGTCAAGTTTGTTTAAGCTGTGTATGTAAACTACATTTTAACCCTCTTACATTCTTCATGTTTCATTTTAGTGCCTATAGATTATTTTTGTCAGTAATTTAAATAGCTGGTAAAAATATATGGATTGATCGCATATTTTGTCCCTGTAAGCTTGATTTTTTTTTTTTAATGTGGACTCTCTTCTTTTTTTATTTATTTAGTTTTTTGACTTTATATATTTTCTCAAGGAGACTTCTTCAATTCCGGTAAATTTTTCGATAACCAATGACGTTTAGATTGCATCATATAACAGCAAAATATGTTTAAAAAAATATAACTTCAACAAATAAAAAAATAATAAAATGAAACTAAAAAATAGGAAAAAGTTATTTTTTTGAAATTAAAATTTTTTGACATGTGCCACTGTTATTTAACATGACAGTCCACCTGTCATTTTTTACTTAAAAATTGATTGAATAATAATTGAAATGACCATGTTAAAAAACTATATCTAGAGTAAAAATATTTTATCAAGAAAATATTAGGAATATAGAGACGAAGTATGCGATTAATCCAAAAATATGTGTATTCACTTTTATGCCTTGTTTGTTTGTTGGAGAAAAACATTTTCCTAACTTTTCCATATTCGGTTGTGGTTTGAAAAACTATTCAACAGAATTCATTTTGCAGTCAACAAGAAACTAAGTTTTAAATAGAGGAAAATATTTTTACGGTTCAAAAAATCAAAGAACACTTTTCATAGAGATTTGAAAACTAAATTGATGCAACACTTCATTATTCTTAAATATAAAAATATTAATATATTAATAAAATAGCTTAAAATATAAAATAATAATTTATTAATATACAGAGTGAGAAAATAATACATTAGGATATATCAACATACAATATATAAAAATTATATTAATTCAATATAGTAGTGCAAAAAATATTTAATTTATATAATATTGCTACAGGATACATTAAAATACACAACATACTATATTATACAATACTCATTCACATTAAATCATATAATTCTATTACCAAAATTGGATACCAAAGAAAAGAAAAGTTTAAAAAACTATACTTCTTTAAGAAAATTAATAACCCAAAAATCTTATTTTCCAAGTTATTTTCTACAACACGTTCAAACATCGTAAAATAGTTTCCAGCTGTTGCCAATTTAATTTTTCTTTTCTTTTGAAAAGTTGGATGCAATTAATAGCATTTACATGAGACAAAGTAACAACTATCTCCAAATCAGACGAATGCTGTTTCTACAAACATACGACCAAAGTAAGAATTGGATACAAAAAATCAAATAAAAAATCAGGATTCTAAAAAAATCCTAGAAAACCAAGATGTTTAAACTGAGCAAAATAATTAAGGTTTTAAAATAGAAAAACTTAATAAACTATAAAGGTTTTTTTATAAGAAAAACCTAAGAAAACCAGTAACGCATAATTTGTAAAGAAAGAGAAATTACAAAAGAAAAATATGTATAGTGATAGAATTGACCAAAAAAATTATAATGAAAAGGCTTCTTGTACAAAAAGAATACTAAAGATGGCCAAGTAAGTTTGAAAGTTAAGTTAGACCAGTTAAAAACTAATTGGATATCCATGCTATGCTGCAGTTAGACAACCGTTATATATATAAGATCAACGATCCGTATGGTATAGTATGGGTAAAAATTTTATTTTTCATAATTAATGTAAATCAAATTTATCTTGCTGAGCAAAATCATTTGATTTATATATTTATTAATAAAATAATCAATAATATTAGCATTAAAAGTTCTATTTGAATAATTGAAAAGTTCTTTCAAAACATTATTTCAATTATTTTATTTATAAAAAATATTGATTTTAAAACATAAAAAAATAACAAATAATTAGTATTATGTATGTAGATACATAATTAATTTTTAACAAAAATAATGATATATATTTCAATTATTTTATTTAAAAAAATATTGATTCTAGAACATAAAAAGAATAAATAACAAATAATTGATCTTATGTATACGGATATATAACTAATTTTCAACAAAACTAATTATATATACGTGTGTGTGTGTGTGTGTGTGTGTGTCATACTTAGTAGATTCAAAGTATATAATATAAACAAATTTTTTTTCAAAAAAAAAACTATCTAAGCTTTATGGAACATATTAAAGTCAATAAATTGAAATAAAAACTATTACAAAATTGGTTCCCATAAATTTTACTTCTTAATTTATGATGAAAGAGATTCTTGAATTACAAATTAAATTATAAATTATTTCATCTCATTTTGAAATATGAATTAATTAATTCTTTTGGTTTCAAAAATAAATTATTTAATTTTTTTAATTAGTGTTGACCACTGAATAATTTATTTTTTATTTTAAAAAATTTCTTTTTTTCATATTTTTACTTTTTTTATTCTTTCTCTTAAAAAAAAAATAAAAACATTGAAATAGCAAAAAAGACAAAAAATATATTTTTTTAAACCAAAGGGACTAATGGTATTATTTAAGCGAGATACATAATTAATTTTTAATAAAACTAATATATATAAACAAACATTTAAAAAAAAACATCCAAATTGTATGAAATATATTAAAGTCAATAAATTGAAATAAAAACTACTACAAAATTGGTTCTCATAAATTTTACTTCTTTATTCTATGATGAAAGAGATTCTTGAACCGCAAATTAAATTATAAATTGGTTCATCTCGTTTTGAGAAATGAATTAACTAATTCTTTTGGTTTCAAAAATAAATTATTTAATTTTTTTAATCAATGTTGACCATGAATAATTTATTTTTTTTATTATTTTATAAAATGTCTTCTTCTTTTTTATATTTTTTTATTCTTTCTCTATTTCTTAAAACAAAAAATAAAAACATTGAGATAGCAAAAAGGACAAAAAAAAAATTAGTTTTTGAACCACATGGGCTACTTAATTTGTTTCTCAAAAAAGAGGAACTAATTTATAATCACTCTTGAATAGCAAATAATTTTGGCTTCCTTGTCGAAACTAAGAAGAAAAAAACATTTAAAGAAGACAGGAGCATGAAATGCTCAATTTGAAAAAAATTAAGGAAGAAAATGACCAAAAAAGGCCCAAAAATAAAATTAAAAAGAGAATCGGTCAAGGTTAAAAACAAAGTTTCTCAAATCCATTGAGTGTCAAAAGAGAAATTGACGAAAAGGTAAAGGGGTGAAAAATCAAGCAACATAATGAATAGTGAATTTAAGTCTAAAACAATAGTAAATGAATAGTAAATATTTTAGTTCTTTTATTTTTTTTCCTACTATTATATATTAAATTAAAAATAAAAGATAAAAAATTTATTTAATTTCATAATTTTTAATCAAATTTTGTATTTCATTCGTTTCTTTATGTTTTTCATAGATTTTGTTGTTAAAAAAACATGATTCGTTTTTTTTATTCATTCATTTTTAAAGAAAAACCTACAATAATATAATTATTAAATTTTAATATAAAATTTTTAAAAATATCTTAATATTTTGTATATAAGATACATCAGAGAAACATATCAACAATCTATAAAAATTTGTATAAAAATTAACTAATTAATCTTTTTAAACCTTTTAAAAATATGTACATTTGATATATAGACATACATACACAAAAAATAAATAAATTCAATAATATTAGGTATAAAAATTTTATTTTAATTATTAGGTGGTTCTTTTGAAATATTATTTTAGTTAATATAAATTAAATTTAGAATATTAAAAATAAATAATAGGAAATAGTTGGTTTTCTATGTGAAAATGCAAAATTAATTTTTAATAAATCAATGATATCAATACTTTTTTGTATACATTATTACAACATTACCATACTCGTATAAATGAAAAAATATATTTAGAAAAACTTAAATTGTAAGAAATACATTAAAGTTAATAGAGTGCAATAAAAATAATTTAAAATTTTATTTCAACAAAATTGATTATATCAAGAATAAGGTAAAGAAACACGTGAATTCTATTATTTAATAAAAACATATTAAGAATTCATACACGAGAGAAAGATAAATCATATTTATTAACAAACAAAAATTTAAAATATAAGAGGCCAAAAACATCTTTTTAAAATATGAGGAATAAAAAATATATTTTGAAAAAAATGTGAGACAAAAATGGATTAAGTTAAAAACATGATATGTCAAAATATTTTTAAAAATATGAGGATTTAAAAATACATTTTGAAAACATAAGGGATCAAAAAGGAATGAAGGGTAAAATTTAAAAATAAATGTCCAAAAAGCTATAAGAAAATTACAAAAATGTCATTGTAAAAATCACAAAATTACCACATCATGAACAGTGAATTAAGGATAAATCATATTTATTAAAAACATATTAAGAATTCATACATAGAGAAAGATAAATCATATTTATTAACGAATAAAATTTCATAAAAAATAAAAAAATTCATTTTGATGATAATTTTTATAATAAACGACAAATTTAAGAAATTAATTTTAATCAATAAAAAAATATAATCCGAAATATATATATATATATAGACACATATGTATGTATGTATGTATATATATGCATGCATGTTCTAAAATTTAAAAATATAAGAAGCCAAAAACATCTTTTAAAAATATGAGGAATAAAAAATATATTTTTTAAAAAATGT